TTGTTGTTCTAGTTCTTGTTGCTGTTGTTCTTGTTATTATTATTATTGTTCTTGTTGTTGTTGTTAGTGTTTTTTCCATTATGTGAAATATTCTCTCCAATTTCTCTTTGTTCAAAACTTTTTGCAGAATTTAAAAATATTTGTAGTTCTTTGGGCGGAAGTAGCCTACATATCCCGACGGGCATTTCGTCATTGCCATAGCAGCGGGAAGTTGGTTTGATTCTGTCTCCAAACCATGGACAGTCTGAGCCGAGGCTTCGCAGCGATACAACCCGCTGCAGGTCGGGATTTCGCCGGTAACGAGATGGAGCAGGGCCCGGAGGTCCGAACAGTGAACCGACAGAGTCCCGGTAACCGTGTGAGGGAGCTCCAGGTGACCGGGACGGCGGAGGTGCGTTGCCCGGCGGACAGAGCCTCTGTCCGGGTGAGTGTGGGCAGCAGCAAGGAGTCAGTGACAGAGGTGACCAACAGCGTGCTCCGGAGGATCGAGTACATTTTACAGTCTCTCAGGTATAAACACTGTAGTACAAGTACTAAGCAACAGGAGGCTAATGTTAGCTAGCTGCTATATGTAGTATACACAGTGAGAGCTAATAGATCCAGCTTTAAAGTTGATTGAGTTGTTATATGAGTCTGTATTTATTGAATGCAGACTAATGCTAACACTGGAGTAATAGTAGCCAGTGGTGGTAGAAGTTCATAACAAATTGCAGGAGTACTGTAGCTGAGTAGAAGTACTTTCCACCAGGGGTAGTGACAGTACTCAGGAGTACTCTCCTCTCCTCAGTAATCTGAAGCATCAAAGTGCATCAAATATATCTCTAGTTCCAGAGTGACTATTAAACTCAAGAACAATAAAAATAGTTATAGAATGTGAGTTGTTGGGGGGGTTAGCGTAAACACTACCATGCATGTCCACTTCCTTACTTGTATGAAATGTTTTTCCTTTATTTTAATATTGAACAGGGAATGACAAACACAAATCTGAGGTAGATCAATTATGTGTTATACCTCCTCACTGTTCTTACACAATGCAGAAGCAATATGTTGATATATATACATAACTTATTACATATAAATGTTAGACTTGTTATATTGTTAGTGATGGAAATTGTATCACAGTTACTTTGGTTATTGTTTTATTGCCCTGCTCTAATTTCTAGGAAAAGTAGTTGTATTCAGATTTTGAGCTGCAGCAGCTCATTTCACTTAAAGTCTAAATGTAGGTTTATTTGACAATCAGTGTATTATATAATATATTTATCTTTATTTATTCTGCTCAGACAACATGGCATCAGTGACACAGATGCTTCAGTGAGGAGGTTTGTCCACAGAGAGGAGGACCTGTATCGCATGGATGCAGAGGTCAAGTATTTAGTATTTGTATGGGTACTGGACGCTAATGATTCAAGTGTTATGATGTTAATTTTTTATTGATGCAACAGCATATATTGAATGTTTGTTGAACAGTGTGAATTAACGTTCCCATAGGTCGTGGTCACCTTCTCAGACTTTGAGAAGATGGAGCAGCTTTGCAGTGTCCTGCTGGAGAAGCTTGACAAGAGTGTGTGTGTGGGACCGCCACAGTTTTACCACAGTGCAGAGAGCCTGGGTCAACTGAGGTAGGAAAGAATCCAGCACGCGTCTCCTCAGCACCTCTAAGATTTCTTAAATTCATTACATTAGCTTATGCAATTGTGAATTTGTCTGTGTTTTAGGAAGCAAGTGTGTGTATCCGCAGTTGAAAATGCTCAGCAGAAGGCCAGGGAAATCAGTCAGTTGCTGGGACAAAGTCTAGGACCCCCCATGCTGGTCAGAGAGGATGAGACAAGGGAGTGGAGGGATGAGGAGTATGGAGGCAGAGGACACAGCACTCTACCCACAATCACAGCCTCCTCGCGGGTGTCCGTCTACTTCAGCCTCAAAGACAGAAGCAGGAAAAAATTCTAAAGACACTTGTCATTCACTCATCAGACCAAAGAGCTCACTGTCACACTTTAACACATTTTATTGCATAGTTTCAGCTGATTCAAAGTGCAGGAGTCAACACTGTCATGTACATGGTAAAAATATATACAGCTGATTTTCAAAATAATTTGTCACATTTCAAGCATTTATACTGATTATCTTTTACCTTTAACTCGCCAAACATTCAAGTATGTCTTCTAATAACAAATGAAATAGATTTAAATTCAACATTTGATCATAAAACCTGAACGCAAGCTCAGTGATTGACCCTGGAAGCCTCAGCTGGATGGATCTGATCTTAGAGAGCAAGCAGTCAGGCATCACTGGCATCGCTGACCTCATCTTCAGGAAAGAGCTCTCTGAGCCAGGGCTGCATGATGAACCGCTCGCCATCAAAATGTGTGAAGTAATTCTCCAAGGTGGGGATTTCCGGCTGGAAACATCCAACAGTGAGTCCAAGACAAAATTGGTGTGTCTAATTGTGTGAATATTTGTTGTGATTTCCAGTACTTTGTTTCCAGTACTTACCCTCATCCCAGTGATGCGCTCCAGTTGTGTCTGAGGCAAATATGCAACTAGCAGAGAGGTGGGTCCAGGTCCGCTGAACAGTACCTTGTAATGCGGTGTGTTCTCTGCCGGGATGCCCTGCAGACACACACACACACACACACACACACACACACACACACACACACACACACACACACANACACACACACACACACACACACACACACACACACACACACACACACACACACACACACACTGAACTGGCTGAGCTTTAGGTTCTCACCAAAGTGTGTGTCAAACAGAACATTGTGAAGAGGTGGGGTGTAAAAGTTTCAGCTGCTAACCTCAGGGCCAGAATACATCCTCTCAATCCACTCTGGAGGGGCTCGCAGTTCAGGGTCCCAGCTCACCACCACCCCGACCATGTGACCCTTCCTTTCCAGCACCACCTCGCCGACTCGTAGAAACACAAAAGGAGGCCGGTGGCTGCGCACTGTTGTTGATGCTGAAGGAATGAAGAAAATTGAGAATGGTGTGAGACAAATTTTACTTGAGTGGAATTTTCACTTGAACACAGGAGCTTATCAAACATTTTTCTAAAAGATAGGGTAGCATTGCATCAGATATGTTTTTTATTTATATGTTGTTTATTATATATTTTTGTTGTGTGTTACCAACTTTTTAGTTTTTTGAGCAATACAACTTAATAAAGCCTATTTTTAATTACAAATACACACAAATGTCTGATACTGAGGTTCTTTTTACTGTTGGTTTGTTTGTGTAAAATTGTGTGTAAAAGTACTGAACTGATTCGCACCAAACTTGGGGAAAGAATGTAGCGTGGTCAAAGAAATACCACTATACATTTATACGCAGATCCAGGATTTTTTTTAATCATTGCATCGACATAGCATCATTCCAAATTGTCATGTGGACAAACCTCCAAAGAAGCCCTGGTCGTTGCCATAAAGCATAGTCTCTAGTGGAGGCAGGTCATGTGTTTCTTCCTGTTCCCAACCAAGCAGAGACCTTTGAGAAAAGCAGAAATATGGTCAGTCTCAACATGAAAACAAGTTTGTTTCCCCCTGTTTGATTCCTACAAGAACTTGAAACATTAGCGGTTACTTCCTGCTTGAATGAAAATGATAATAAAAAATAGAATAAAGATCAAGATTTACTTTAATGTCATTCAGTCCACACACAACAGAATTCAATTGCATCCTGCTCCCCAATGTAATTTAGAATGCTAAGGATTCTTAAGTCAGTATAAAAGCTATCTAAAGCAAAAAATCAATAAATAAACAGCACGTGTCTGAGCATGGATCACAGTTTTTAGTGGGACTCCAAACTCTCCTGCACTCACATGACATAAGACATGTGCTGGTTGGACCAGTCCATCCATGCAGTGCCATTGAGGTACGAGCTTCTCCACTCTTTCCAAATCCTTAGTAACCTGTAAAGTGAAAACTCACAATCAGGACACTACAGTTGTATGCTTCCTTCACATGTCCTCACATCACAGCAGCGCAATGACTTCAGAGTGCAGCTTAGTGACGCACAGAGGGGACCTGCTTCTCTCTGCGGTGGGATCACACCTACCGTGAAGTGGCGTGGAAGCGCTGCACCGCGGACGAGCCGCTCCACCGGGAGATAAAGTACTGCGCGGGCACGGCGGACAGCAGGAGCGCGAGCTGCAGCAGCGCGGCGGCCGACATCTGGGGCATGGTGAGCGCGCTCCCGTCAACAGGAGACGGACACGCGCGTCGGGCGGAAGCGGGGCCGAGCCGAGACCCCCCTCTGACTGACAGCTCCTCCCGATGAGAAGGGACAACACGTCTGCTGCTGTTCCACACGGATCAACACGGTGGGGTCAAAGTAGAGCAACAACACGTGCTGCTGCACAAACTTAATGGAAATACACGTCAGGGAAAACATCGGTAATCATCGCTCTTACCTCGGGTTCAATCCAGTGTTTCCACCTGCTACCCTCCACACATTGTGTAACAGGAAGCAGAACAAACACTTTCACTCCTCTTGTTATTTACATAAACCTCCACCTGTTTGTCTTCATTTCTGTCCACATCATCGCGCCGGTGCTTTCTGTCCAATCACAGCAGCCCACGTGCGGACCTTTAGCGGCTCGACACGTCAGGACGGAGTCGAACCCGCGAGCTGCGGTCGGAAAAGAGTTTGTGACACAGGGACGCTTTGACGACACTAGATGGCAGAGTGAGTCACGCCACTCTGTTTATTTTATGCTACATGTTACTTTATTGACTTTCTTTACAGATCCTAATTTCAACTTTCAGTCCAACTAGAATTGTTTGCCTCCTCCAACCAATGCACTTTCAGTTTACCTATTGTTTCTCTCACATCAATATGAGGTCAGCATGGCCTTTTCCTTTGACCTCTGAAACCTAATCAGGCAAATTGAGAAAATGTGAAGAACAAGTGAATATTTGTGCAAAATTTGAAAAAAAAACATTCCCTCCACGTGTTCCTGTGATGTTGCATTCACAAGATCAAAAATGTGTTTCATAAGATCACTGTAACTTTGAAGGATTTCCTGCAGGTTTTCCTGAGATGTCATATTCGCAAGGCAAAAAGTGTCTTTGACCTTTCCCAACAAAATCTGATTAGTTCATCCATGAGTCCAAATGGACGTTCCAAGTTTTTTTAAATCCCTGATGGCATTCCTCAAGATATCATGTTGACAGATATGACGACCTGAACACACAATGCCTAACACTACTGCCGTCAGTGCAAAGGCAGAGCCAAACTTTAGAGCTTGCTTATTTAAATTAAATTAATTTATATCTGTAAAAAATCTTTTTTGAAATGATCCCAAAAAATAAACAGGAGGTAAAAGTGAATATGGAAACACAACTGTTTATTTACTTAAAATATTGGTATTAACTAACAGGACAGCAGTACTCCCCTACACATACATTCTAGCTTTATGCTTCTTTTTTGCATGAATTCTTTTATATATAAAAAGTATCCAAACTGACAAAGACATCCTGCTCACTCAGTTCATGTGAAACAGACCCCTTCCCTTCCTGTTCTCTTCTTTTCCAGCCCACATCCCTTTAAAACTTAAAAAAACGTCCCAAAAATGCTTCCCAGTGGCTCACATGCAGCCACTTCATACAGGCACACACACACACACACACATACGCGCACACACACTATGACCTTTAACCTCTGACCTAAGACTGTGGTGCCTGGTCAGAGGCCACAAACTGCACAACTCTGCCACAAATTTAGCACAGGCCTGTGGTGAATGGATGCGTGTGTACATCAGCATCAAAATACAGTTGGGGGGTCTGGTAAAAGTAAGAGGGCTGACCTGAGGAGCTGAGTCAAGGTGGAAGACACTGATACCAAAACCTAATGAGGTCCACTCTGTGAAGAACTACAGACAGGGCAGATGTGTGTCTGAGAGCATAAGTATAAATGAATAAAACATTTCTGGCTAATAACCAGTAACTTGATTTTAAGGCCCCTTTGTAATGATTAGAGGTTTTACATAATCACTAATGGTTCAGGTCACCTGACTAGCAACACTAAATCAGCTCTTTTACTTTTACTTCTCGAAAAAATACAGGCAATGTAGGTGCTTTGATTCAAAGGAGCAGATGCTAGTATACTAAAAAAGTTCAATTTCCATTTTCATATGATGAACTTTATCATAATTTGACTGAATTTCAGTGGGAATTTAGCAGATAAATACTGCACATCCCTCCTTATCTCATTATTAACATGGGATGCAATGCTCTTACAAAGCAGGCCAAAGAATGCCCAAAAAAAATCATAACTCAAAATGTCTCGATACTCGTCAATATCCTGCAAACATCTGGGATTCTCATGAGCTGTGCTTAGAAGCTGCAGACCTGCGCATGTAAACATGTTTACAAGTGAGCTCATATTCCAGCTTTGAGAAGCCTGGGTTGAAAATTTTGTTCCAAACTCTAATCATCATGATAAAATGTGCATATATGTATTTACCTTTATGAACCTATGAGGACATAATAGATCGATTTTATGATGACAGTCATTAACAAACACTTGAAACCAACAAAATTGCCGCCCACAAAGGAAATCATTTCATGGGCAAAATTATAAGCTTCCTAATTTGAAAAAAACAAACTAAACTATTATAAAATTTACTTTGATGTCAAGAGTCATGAGAGACAATGTCTCTGTTGTAGGTCATGGAATAAAGCTCTTCATATACACAATATAAACAAAGTGTCAGTGAGACTAGACCGGAAAATAATAAAATGTGAGTTTTGAGTGTCCTCAGATAATTGCGGCAGAGTGTTAAACAACCAGTCCAGCGGTATCACTCCACAGATCCAGCCACTTCAACATTGTCCGCTATGGCGAGGACACAGTCGGACAAACCTTTGACACACTGTACGAGCTCCACACACTCACAGTAGAGACAGTAAAACTAAAAACATTCAAAAGCCTTGTTCTAAAAGTTCAGTGCCCAAACACAGAATTTGGCATCAACAAAACAAAAACAATGATAAACAGATGAGATATACTTTGAATAATATGTGACAAGGAAGACGTGAAATGAATCAGATGTGTGGAGATGCTACCACCAAGTTTTCCCCAGTCAACCCCCACAAGTGTCACGTTTCAGCATTCACTTGCTCTGTGCTGGGGTGGAAACAGAAATTATGTTTCAAGTGGAGCAGAGGATGCCATCTGTAGAAATTCACTTCATTCGCTGTCCACAGAGAGAGAGAGACATAATATGTTTGTCTCCTGTCAGACTGCTCATTGTTCTGTCTTTCCTCAGACTCCTGTACCAGCCCGCCAGGTCCAGTGCGATTCTCTGAACCTGGCGACGAGCAGAACCAGGATGTCAGGGGGAAAAAAATGAACAAAGCAAAAAAGAAATTCCCCAAAAAGGAGAAAGTGAGGATATTATGCCAGAGTAGCGAAGGCACACCATCAGAAAGATGTAAGACTTGTCTTTCTCTCTCTCTCTCTTCTTCCATCCAAATTCAGTCCACATCGGTTTGATCTGGCTCCATCCTGTTGATGAGAAAGTGCTAAAACATGCAAGACATAATTGTGTGTGTGTGTGTGCATGCACGCACGTCTGTGGTCACCATAGAAACATATCAACATTTGAAAAAGTTCCTTTTTATATGTTTACAGTTTTAAAATACGCAGGGTTACTCGCTCCCTAAGACTGCATTGATAACCGCTCTGTGGTAAGTGCATCTCAAAGCTAGTCACCCAAAGCTCCGCTCGCTGTACCTTAGGTATAAACTGACAATAGGTTGGTTATAGGATAATATACTGACATGAATAATGGTATGTTTACAACAAGAGTAAAGTCTTTTTTCAAACTGCTATAAATACATTTTCTTTGAGAGGTTTCACAACGATCAAACTGTATGCCACTGTTTGTACACTACTGTTTGTGAAAGTGACACACCCAGTTGTGTTATAAAAACACACACACTCCTTCAGTTACACACAACATAAGTTCACACACATACAGGCACATGTACTTTGCAGGGCAGAGGCCAAGCACGCTCATACACACACGCATACACACACACACACACTCCAGAGACATAAAGGCACAAGGTATTGCTAATGTTGAGGACGCATTGAAACGTGATCTAAAATGAGTCCTTTCACCCATGCATCCCTTTTCACCTCCTCACAGGAAAAACAGCTTCTGGGGAAAAAAAGTGATGCTTCCTCTTTCTAACATGCAAAACAAAACTCTCTCTCTCACACACACACACACACACACACACACACACACCAATAGTAAACAGAGCCTATGGATCTACAGTACCTATACAGGTACACCATTTGGTATTTTAGCACAGACAGACACGCTCAGGTCAGCCAATGTGTAAGACTTCCAAAACAGAGAGCCGATCGTTACGTACAAATCTTAGAAAAAGCCAAGAAAGGGTTGTATAAAAGAAAAAAAGAACAGGAACAATGATGACAGGGGCGAAAGATGTTGTCAGGCCAGTGCTTGGTCTGTCGTCCATCACAGACCAAACAATTTAAGCTCAGCCGGTGACTTTTTTCATCCTAGCTGAGAAAAACTTGAAAAGTTTCTCTGAAATAGTAAGACAGAGATGAGATGCATCCATCTCTTCATGACTTTTTCAAGTACTAAAACTCTGTCCAGTCTGTGACACCCAGCAGTGTTTCAGGTGAGACCAGGGCAAAGAGTCGATCACTGGACAGAAGCAGGTCACAACACCACCAACTACGGGAGTCAGCGAGCGTCTTAACAGATCCAACATGGACCAGTAATGTCAGAGGAGCTCGAACAGAAGAACATGCTGAAAGCCACTGGTTGCCACAGTGATGTGCTCACTGGGCAGACAGGAAGTAGGATTGGACAGACCACTGCGCTGTTGTGTCTCTCCGGAGCCACAGCTTCAAATAGCAGCAGCTGAGCCAGTGGCCGTTCAGACATACACACACACACGTACGTGCACAGAAATGCATACAACAGCAACATGACTTCCTAGATAGCCCCCTACTCATCAAATGCAAAGACGTCAGGGCAGTCGGCCTCCTCCTCACATCTTGAATTTGTGTTGTTACCAGCCAATCAGGTTGGCTTTGGCCTTCTCTGTCAGCTTGCGGACGCGTCCCTTAGAGGAGGTGCCGAAGGTGATCGATGAGTCCTCAAACAGCAGCTGCCTCTGCTCCTCCTCAGAGTCCTCCTCCATGTACCAGGCTGACCGTCGCCCCTGGTTACGTGTGCGCATAGACCCCCCTTCACCCTCCCCTGCCTCCTCCTTTGGAGACTCCTTGCGATTGGATCGTTGAGGGGCGGTCTGTGGAGGAGCGGTCACCTCCTCATTGGCTCTTCTGCTGCTCCTCCTCAGCGGTGAGGGCTCTGGTGACTCCGTGGGAGGAGTTGATTCATCAGTTCGTACCAATCGGGGCCGGCCGCGCCGTCTAGGCGTCGATGGCACGCCAGAGTCTGACAGCACAGATGTTTCCTGCGCAGAAGATGCCCCACCTTCGTCTCCTGTGGAGTGGTCGAGCTCATCATCAGGGGTGGAGCTCCTGCGGTTACTGCTCCTTCTCATCTCCTCCAGCTCCTGCTTGCTCTTCCGGCCTCTCTTTTTGCCAGGGGGGCGGTCTTGAGGTCTAGAGGGGCTTGCTGGCGTCGTGACCTCTGGAGGACTCACCGGTGGTTCTGTTTTGGACTTCCGCCCCCTCTTTCCCATCCCAAGGGTCACATGACTACTGTGACCATTCAGGTGGGCTGTGCTCTGAGATGAAGGGCTGACAGGAGAGCCTGAGGGAAAGACATTGAGTCACAGAACAAAGGAATTAGTAATACTTCATTTTTAACATTAATCATAAAGCCTCACACCTAAGTGGTACCATCTCTTACCAGGCGTGTGTCGTACAGGTGTCCTGAGTTTCCTTCGGGTGCTTCCTCCACTGCTACTTTCTGCAGCTGGACTGGGAGCCACCTTTTCAGAGACCGCTGGTGTTGAAGCTGACACAGAGTTGTGAGTCCTCAGCGAACGAGTCGACTCTGAAGGTGGAAGAGAGATATATAATATTTTAAGTAAATTGCATTGTGAGTTGCGATTAGTTCTTGATTATATATTTGCAGAAAATTCCCTGTTGTTTTCCTGCGTTATTACAGTACACTAACTCTACCTCTGAAGCAGTCTATATAAATGTGAGTCACTGTCAATTCTACTTCTATCATGTTAATATGAGTCAAATTGTTTAGTCAGTATTAATGACTAATATAGCTAATTAGTTCTGAGCTCAAGCTAACGCTAAATTGCCTTGTGCAAGCATTAGCATGAGCCCCATCCACAATAAATTTAGCAGCTGCTGTTTTGTTCTTTGGAGCATTGTGGAGAATTAATGGTTGTGGGTCCATATTTGTGTATTTATAAGTTATAAAAGTGTAACTGTAAAAGGTTAGCAGGCTGTACTAAATGAAAGTTAATGGAAATGTATTTATTACTTGCTAGTAATATTATATTAGTTATAACAGAACCACTGTTTCGGTGTTGTACAAAGAATTGCTAGAGATTTGGGGGATATTAAAAAGTGTACAATTTTGTATGAGGAAATTAAATTGCATTTTAAAAAATATATAAAAAGGGCAAGCATTTTATGGTGCTGTCAAACGTGAGCATCATTCAGTCCAGCGGAAGTTCACATGTTCACGTTCACCAAAAACATGAGCACATTAAATTATTTTAGCGCCAACACTGTATGAGAGATCTCACCTGTTGTGTTGCTTGTGGAATTATGTGAGGAGGATGCGGCAGGTGGAGAATGTGCAGAATGGCGTGCTGCACTGCGTGTTCGCCCGCCAGCTGGTGTATCTGCCTTCCCGTTGACCAGTTGGGGCGGCTGCTTTTGTGGAACGCTCTGTCTCAGGGAGGAACTTCGAGATGGAGCTGGTGACGGCTCCCTTCTTGCCGTCACCCTCGATGATACACGTCTCTTCCTTTCTGGGCTAAACGCAGCAAGGGAGGAGAGAAGACAAACTATCAAATCCATTGCACCAAAAGAGCTACAATCAAAAAGATAAATGTCCTTTCTTCTACCTGGATGCAGTGCTGCTTGTGGGAGACACGCTCCTCCTCCTCCTCCTCTTCATGGCGTGCCTCGTCTGTCTGTCTGTCGTGTGTCGCGTCTGTCTATCTGTGCCCTGTCTGGTCAGTTTTCCTGTCAGGCCGTGGATTGCCTTGTAATCGGCCAAGATGGAGCTGACATGCTCCTCAAACAGAGCAGAAAGCCTCAGACTCATACTGTAGATCTGGAGAGGCGGTAAAGGACAAATCAATTGTTGTACTTAAGCAGAAATGTGTGAATTGTATGTGAGTGTGAGTGTGTGTGCATGTCTCACCCGAGACTTCTTACTGGGCGTGTACGCTTTGGAATTACTGAAGATGAGCCGCACGTCTTTGCAGAGCTGGATGGGAGACTGGTACTTTCCTTCTGTTAATGTGTTGAGAACGGTTCCAAAGTCCATTGGAGACTCAACTATTTGCAGGTAATCCTGAGAGGAGTGATGTGAACAGGATCGAGGGTAAATGAGAGGAAGAACAGAGTAAGAGGAGGAGTTAGAGATTTGGGGGAGGTTTCAGTTTGAGTGGACTAAAAAAACAACCAGCAAAGGAATTTCACCCTTCTTCTGTGAATAAGAGAAAACTCAACGACCAGAATATGTGAGTGAAAATGCAAACTATGATCATAGCCAAAGGAGTTTAGTTTTGTTTGTTGAGTTCACACGTCTGCACTATGACAAAGAACTTTTAAAGACTACTGTTGTGTTATGTACCGGGTATTCCTGTATGTCCACGGGTTCTCTGAAGGGCTCGGAGTCTTCACACTGAAAGATCAGGTCCAGCAGCTCCTTACAGCGCCCCCTCCATGCATGAGGGTCGTAGGAAGGAGGTCGGGTTCGCAGTTGGCGCTGCATCGGTGGACGTCCCTACATAAAGAATGACAATACAATGAAGTAGCTGATTATGCTGGATTATGTTACAGTGGACTAACGTCCCATGTAGAAAGAGAATTGTTAGATTTTCAGAAAGCAGGGTGGAATGTCTAGGATCGTGCAGATGCTATGAGATGTGCTACCTTATATTTTCGTGTGGACGTTCCAGGAGTATTAGTATCTTCATCCTCCTCATCCTCATCCTACATAAGAAAAAAGGAAAAATTGTCTTGTGATTCTATTATAGGCTGCACTAGAATAAAAAACACAAATCACATTATGTGTTCTGTCCTCTTCAATGAAACCAAAAATCAGTTAATACATATTTTGTCAAAACTGATTTCGGCCAGAATCTGTCTGCTTGACTTCTGCTTTGTTTAAGTATAAAATTCCAGTGAAAGCACAAACTGTTCTGGCACAAACATCGGACATTCTCTGGACTTTTTATACATGGTGGCTGGCAGGAAAAGCTCCAGAGCCTCTGACTTAGCGATTCACGTTTACAGCATGTCTTAAAGCAGCTCAAGTCAAAGCCAACCAGAGAGACAAGCACTTCTAGCCAGAGAAAAACTATACAACCCATAAGTGATGAAATAGTCATATCAAAAGTAGTGATTTACTGTGTGTATGTTGTCTCTAAAACTAAGCACCTCAAAGGTGGAGCAGAAGTTGTGCGTGTGTGAAGTGGGGTGACATTGAGTGATGAGCAAGACTTTGTTTTGATATGGCCTTTATAACACATAGGGGCTAAAGACATCCAATATCGATAGACCACGTCCCAGACTATTAGGGACAAAAAGAGCACAGGGATGAAAACTCATCATCTGCCGAAACCCGGGATCAAACCAGGGACCTTTAGATCTTCAGTCTAACGCTCTCCCAACTGAGCTATTTCGGCACGCTACTCAACTACAAATACTACATTTTATGAAAGAAGGCAATAAAAGGAATGCACATCGCAAGGTATAGGGAGGTCAACAAAAACAAAGTAAAACCTCCACACAAAACCTGACAAAGATCCCACTCGAAACATTTGATTAAACTCTCTGAGGCACGGAGTGGCACACTCGTTTTTTTTTATTAACATTACTAATAACACTAATTACAACCAACCTAGTTTAGTGTCCATCACTAACTACCACCTCAGCTTTTATCCAGAGTTAGATTCTTGTGTCCGTCTGTTCAACAACTGAAAACTTTTAACGCTTTTTTCTGCGCTTCATCGTGTCTGAAGTGACTGCTTACTGCCACTGTGGGGCAGTGCAACAACTATGTAACAAAAATGTAACAATGTTTTAAGATAAAATTCTCTTGGTGATCAAAACGTATGTGTCTGTGTTTAATGTATTATACATATCACATTTGCAGCATCTTGAGTGGGGAATTAAGAAATTTGTGTATGAGAGGCAAAGTTTTCAATAAAAACAAAACACAAAAACAATATTCTGTCCTGGTGACAAATCACGTAATCAATACCAACCATTTATTTGATTAGAATAGAAAAACCAAACACATTGTTGTGTTAAAATATGTTCACACAAACACACCTCATCTTCAGAGTCAGAGAACGTTGCCTTCTTCATAGTTTTGTACAGGGGCATGAGGTCGGTCAGACTTTGGTCCCTGAACAAGAGAAAAAAAGAGAAGAGCAGGAAATTCACATCTGACAAATATACCTTTTTTTTTTTTTTGATCGACCCTGGGCAGTGGATGTTTCCCCTTTTTTTGTCGATATAATTTTCTTCTTAAACAAAATGCAGGTTTATGAGTGAAAGATGCACATTTAACACACTCACTTAATAAATTGCAGCATGAGGTCAGAGACGAACTTGGCGGTAGTGACTATGAATGATCCAGGCTCGTTGAACGTTTGCGCGTTGTGTTCAATGTAACGAACTTCCCACATCAGAGAGGACAGTCGTCTGAGAGGAAAACACACATTTGCAGAGCATGTTAACAATCTTCTTTCTACGATACACAAATTCTGTATCTCATTAAAACACAACTTAATGGATGTTACCTGTAGAAGCGGTTCACCAGCCTTTGGCGTATAGTGCTGAGGTCAGTGACAAAGGCCACTACTGTGCAGTACGTGGGGTAAGCCTGGTGGTCCACTGGAAAGGCAAATGGCGCCGCAACATCTGAGGGTTGGCAAGTGGGAAACGTGGAGAAAAGACAGGTGAAGAGAGGATTATTACTGGGACACATTAGCAGAAAGAGCTGAGCTTTTAGTACAAACCAGTTTCAAGACTAGAGGGGTGTTAAGAGAGCTCATACCTCCACAAGGGCCAACAGGCTCCTAATAAAACTACATTTAAATTCACCAGATTCAGATTCTTATTGGGATCAGCAACAAATTGCACACACTCATTAATATCAGTCCCCTACATATACACAATTTTCATCAAGATCTATAAATTACTTTCTGAGAAATCATTGAAAATGTTGAATAATGTATCTTGCGGGGTTGAACAAAGTGACAACAAATCCTGCATACGCCCCCTCATCGGCACATAAATCTAATGAGGTTTTCCCCAAGTAAAACCACATCTGTCCAAAAGTTTTTAAGTAATGCTGCTAAATAACTGACAAACAAACGGCACTGAAAACATGACCTCCTTGGCAGAGGTAATAACAGAAAAAGGCAGAATTTGCCATTTATGATGAGGGTGAATAACAAAATGGCAGACAGAAGGGCTCCTTCATTCAGACATTACATTAGCAATATTAACTTTTACCCAGTTTTCCTACCTGTTTTGATGTTCAAAATGCACCAAAATTATTATAAATCCTGTGTGTGCCAACTGCAGCACAGGGCACATGGGTAACAGGGAGAGATCTAGACGGATTACTTGTGCCAAATGTTTGCAATTGTACGTCTTTTCCACACATTTTCAGTAGAGGGTGCCCTCCACCAGCTTTCTTCAATTGGGAGGTTTGCAAAACTTTCCGCTGTGCCTAATGTGACATAACATCATTTAACAGGTTTGAGCAAGCACTTCAATACCTGGCTCAATGTGTTAGCAGCTTATTCCTCTGAACATATGGTGATCTGAGGCTCTGTTGATGGGCTCAGAGTCGTGACTCATGTTGTGAGGACTCGCCTTTTTACGAGAAACAGGCCCTGTGTCTTCACTTCACATCCCTGCTCACATGATATAAGCAGACTGTTATAATCGCATGGTGATGGGTGACGTCATACCGAGCGTGCAGAGCTGGTCGATGGCTTTGATGATACGTTCACACTCGTCTGGGCGTGTGTGGGAGCCCCATTCTCCGTCCATAGGGACGTAAAGCAGCTCCTTCTGCTCGTCTTCTACCAGGGGGACGCTCAGGCCCAACTCGTCAGGGAACGTGGCTACAAACAGAAGATTGCAAAACTTTCAGAATTGTATTTTTTTTGGAGAGAACTTGTTCAGTTTAGATTGTGTATTGTGTGTATGTCTGAGTTTGTGGGTGTGTTTTAGATAACCCACCATCATCTGGAATCATCTCCATATCCCAAGGACTCATCTTCTCCGTGTCTCCATTGTCCCAGCTGGATGAGAAATAGTTTTGATATGAATCATCGACATTCATCAAATCGTCATCTTGTCATTTCTTAACCGTTTGACATGCCTTACTTGACGTGCTGTTAAAGTATAGATGTTCCTTTCCCACAACCTAAAGCAGATTTCATTGTCTGACAAGGTTTTTCAAATAACCTGTGATCATAAAAAGCTCAGTGTTGAGAGAGAAAAAAAACAACTCTCAATTGATAACATGGCTATAAACGTCTTGTCACTTTCGGGAGAAGTCGATCAATAAAAAGCAACGTGCAGCGTTAGTTAGCGTCATTGTAAACATCAAAATCACAATTCAAAAGTGTCGTACAGGACAGTTTGATGGAGTTTCTTGAAAGATTCGAGCTACAAAGTGTTTATACAGTTAATGAGGAGGTAATGGCGGCAAAATCACAAGCAGCCATTTGTCTGCATTCTGATAGATTTGTTCAAGCAGACTAAGTCCTGTTAAATGTAAAACATTTAAATAGACTGTTTGAGACGTCTTATTTCATCAGTGCCAAGAGACCACCTGTACACTAAACAAAGATGGAACTGAGACAAAATGATTCCTAAAAGTAAATGTCATCAAATTTCAGTTGCAATTTCAAAGGATTTTAAAGTCATGGGGCTTTGGAGTAATTCTATTATTAGGGGTTCAGCAAATTAGTGATGCATTAGTGTGCATAAAACAAGAATAATGATTTTATTACTCAAAGATTAAAATTCAAGATTTCTATCCATATTCATGGTCTGTATTTTGCTGTTCACACCTGGTATTAACATCCGTCCTGAGAGATCCGACCATAAGGAGACAACGGTAAGTGTGTGTTCACATCCTGTCATAACATGAGTCCTGAATGTGTCTCCTGTGACCACTTGTGATCAGATCTCACTTCCCTGCTGTATATTCAAATAAATATTTCGTTTCGTTTGCTTAGACCAAATGATGTTGTTTTTACCCAGTGACTTTACAGATGTGTCCAATGTCTTTCATGTGTGTCAGTGTGTGTCATTTGGTTCATTGTGTGCTGAGCGCTGACCACTTGTGATCCAAACACTCAGGACGGATGTAAACACCAGGTATGAACAGGACCTATGAGTGCATTTACAGTTTCATCACATCGCATTTTATTGTGTTGTTCCCAGCAATAATCATATATGTACGGTTGGTATTTACCTTTGTCTCTATCAGTATCACTACTAAAAGCAAAACATAATTTCTCACCACCAGCAGAAAGGTTTCCTTGTTGTTCTTACCTCTTCTGCCTGTGATTGTCATGTGGGGTAATGTAGTCAAACAGATGCTTGGTTCGATGTTATCGATATGGATTGTGGGTTGTGTTCTGTACTTTTAATGGGATTTGACATGAAACCCTACTACAAATAGAGTGAATCAATCCCAAGATGTGTTCATACCAGACATTGTAGCACTGGAACAGGCTGTCAGGATACTGGGACTGGTAGGGCTCCTGGCTTTCAATGGTCCCAAACCACCAGGCATCATCTATCACTGACCGAAACCTGTCACCTGCACAGACATCACAGGGATGTTTACATGAATTGAACTAGAAAACGAATGTGGCTTTTCTTTGTGCTTCAAATAATGCTGCTTACCTATACTCCACTGTCTATTTCTGGCATTGTCATACTGCTGTCGCAACACCAGGAAGTCGATTACATCAGGCATGTCATGGTATCTAAAGAGAAATGTTCACAACTTACTACAAGAAAGCAATGAAAACATCCGTATTAACAGTGCTGTTCAAGTTAGAAGTTAAAGAGAGTTTAACATTCTCAAACATTGTTTTATTCTATTAATTTATTATCATTATATTTCTTTGTTATATGGTTTTGATAATGACATCTTAGAAATCATTGCAGAATTCTTTCTTAATAAATATACATCAGCTGATATATCGGTATCAGGATATCTGTATCAGGCACTATTTTTCCAAATCAATATATGTGTCAGTTTGGGCTGTAGCCAACATGATAATCAATTTAGGAAATCCTGTCATATTTAAACTCAACAGAACACTTAAGAGTTTAGACTTGAACTTTTGAAAATGCTGAGACAATGTGTGTGAATGTGTGAATTAAAAAGTTAATATTAGTACAGGATATGGCACACAGTAAAACAGCATATGTACCGTCTAACAAGTGTTAACACTTCATGTTGAAAGTTGAGATGTTTCACATTTTTGATATGCAGTGTCATTAAACAACTGTGCTGCTGAAGCTCTTGTGTGGAGACAAAGTGGAATGCTTACTTCATGGAGAACGATCCTCCGGTGAGTTTGCCGGTGTCAGGGTCCAGGAAGGAAAGTTTCAGACAGCACAATGTGGGCAAGCCTACCTCGTACTTAAGTCCAACTATCTTCATCAACTCCTGCTCCTGAACACCACAAGTAAAAGAACAAATAGAGCAAATGAATACAGGCAGTAGAAAGATGTATTATATAACCTGCTGGAAGCTGTTAGGGTTACCATAGTTCTATGCACTACTTCTCACTTTCTATTTTATCCGATACAGGTTCGATAACTGCAGTGCCCTTTACTCCGGTATCAGCAAGAGAAACATACAAAGATTACAGCTTTTACAAAACCTTTGCTGCCGGGCTTTTAACAAACACTAACAGAAGTGACCACATGACACCAATCCTTGATCCATTTCACTGGTTACCTGTGAGTTTTAGAATTGATTTTAAGATTTTACTGCCTGTTTTTTCTCAATTGGTAACACTTTATGTTTTTGATTTTAACTACATGCATCATCTGTTTTATCGTAAAGTACTTTATAACTTTGGTGATGCTATTGAAAATTAGTATTACTATCCTACTACTATGATTGGAGAGTGATTTGCATTTGTCTGTTTGCATGTCTGGCTACTCCGCCACCGTGGAAAACAACAGAGGAAAGAGATGACAACCATCAGTCGAAGACAAACATCAACAGTGCATATCATATCTCATCACTGTCGGCAGGCTGTGATGCCAAACCCAAGATATTCGAGTGTGAATAATAACAATTCTGTAGTTATCATTATTATCGATAGATTGTCTTTTCAGTGACGTTTCTGTTGGTTCAGAGAGAATGTTAGCAATGCTACATTTTGCCAAGTTTTCCCAGCCTAGAATAGTGATACTGGAGACAGGGGATTTGACTCTGCCATGCCGTGTTGTAAAAACCACCAAAAAGAGGATATAGAAGAGGATGCTGCATTTCACACACTACAGGCAACACAATCACAAAGACTGCACACTGTGCCTGCGATGCATTAAGGTCTGCCATCTGCACTGAAATTGCTATTTCTCCTTCCTTGTGGAAAAGAAATGAAAAATACAACACGTATAAAACAATCCGATAAGTTGTTGCTTTTAAGAAAAGTGTTTGATGGTGTTTCAGAGACAGTTTCACATTCAGGGATGAAACTGTCCATTTCTCTTTTAGTGTTAAGACATGTTTAGGACTGAAAAGGGGATTTAAGTCCACGTGAGAGTGAAACTAGACGAGTGTCTGTGATAAAGAAGAAATACTGGTAAAAGTTTGTATCTGTGTGAGGACCTTTTTTCTATTAATCACATTGACTGTATATAAAGATGGACAACATAAAAGCTCCACAAATAAAGATAAAGCATCTCGGTTGCCACCTGGTGGCCGGTTGCAGTATGAGTCCAGTCGCCTCCATGTTAGTAGATGGGACATTAGCCAAACTGAAAAGTCAAAGTGTATGTCAAATAAATGTTTCCCAAAGATGGTCTGTATCGTTGAAGATAAAGCTTAACAAAGGTGGTTATATTTCTGGTAAAGTATATAATTATAAT